TTCGTCGACCAGGATGCGATGAACATCAAAGTTGGCCATTCTTGCCCTGATTAGGAGAGGGATGGCTGAATTGGGGCCACACCCGGGAAATTCCTTGAGGTAAAAGGTGATTGAATCTGATCTGCCTTTAATCCTCTCAGAAGTTACCGTTTATGGGGGGCCGTGTCGATCAGCTCGTCCAACTTCCTCTTGGATGAACTTATGGTTAAGTCATTAAATCCTCCACCATTTATGACCATGGAGGAGGGGAAGTTTTCCCACCTGCTGTGCGTGTACAGAGGCTCTTGCATATGTTCGAGGACGTAGAAGTCCTCCGATCTTGTAACGAAGAATACAGTCTGGATGAGGACCGACTCGTTAGATAGTCGGGCATCCTCCTCTATCTCCTTTGTTTCGCGGGAATCTCGACGGGGGGCGTCGCCGCGCTGATATTGCCCGAGTCTCCCTCCTTTTATGAGGGTCTTGATAGCATCCTTGAGATGGACACAATCTTCAGTCAAGTGTCCATGGCTCCGGTGATACTGGTAGTATTTTCTCCAATCTGCCCCGGGTTTAGCAGGAGCGGGGAAAGGACGCTTGATGCCGCCGTCCTTGAAATATGTGTTTTCACACTCCTCCAGAATGCGCTCGCGGGAAGTCGTTAGTGGAGTATACTCAATAAACCTCCCCGAGGGTCCCCTCTACTCGCGAGGGTCTCGGGGTTTGTCGTCCCTTATCTTCTCGCCAGTTCGTCGAGGAGGGCTGGTGTCTTGTCGCATATTGCTGGTTGATCCGCGGTTCCTGGGGTCTCAGGCTCTGTTGGCCGCTTCCCTTTCCTCGTGGTCCATGTAGGCTCTGGCTTTTTTGAGGAGGGCATCAAATGTATGGGGTGGTTCGATTCCTAAGGCCTTTCAGAATTCTGTGCCCGGGAGGAGTCCCCTCTTGAGCATGTATCTCTTCCTGTGATTGGTACAGGGGACTTGGATGGCCTCCCAGTTGAACTGATCAATAAATTCCCTTAGGGTCTCGTTGTGTCTCTTGACGATAGCCTTCAGGTCTGCTTCGGTCTTTGGGCGCCGTCACGAAGCAGTGAACGAACTGATGAATTGGTTCTTTAAATTTTGCCAGGAGGTAATTGACCCCGGGTCGAGACTCTTGTACCAGTCCATTGCAGCTTTCCTGAAAGTCGTGGGGAACAACTGGCATTTGATTGGTCCCCCGACATTGTGATAATGCATCATAGGCTCGAACCCGTCTATGTGGTTGACCGGGTCAGCGATGCCGTCATATTCCTTTAGGTGGGGAGGCTTCTCCATGCCCGGGGGAATAGGTGCCTCCATAATGGCTTATGACAAGGGACTGCAAGGGCCGTCTTCGTCACTCCTGTCGGGCGAGCCAGAAGGGGATCTGATGTAGTGGCGGTTATGGTAGCCTTGGTCGCATGAAGCGTTCCTCGGGCGGTATGGTCGTTCGTTGTTTCCCCCGTTCATGTCTTCAGAAGGTCTTCGTTCTTGACGCGAGGGGACGTGATCGCGTCTCCCCGTGTCAACGGGCTGGTCGCTTTCCAATGCGGGGCGTCGCCCGATTGCTCGGGGAGAAGGACTTCGAGAGATGTCCCGACTACGTCTCTGTGGGGGAGATTGGGGACGTTCCTCTACTTGGAGATGAGGAGGAGACTGGGGCCTCTTGTGTCTTCTGGGGGATCTCCGAGCATCTTTGAGAGCCCTTAATCTCTCTCTTTGAGAAAAGATCAGGTAGTTGGTCTGATTTATCACCGCAAACAGTGCCCTGGTCGTGGTGTCTACTCTGGCGGGAACGAGGACCTCACGGAACTGAATGGGTTGGTAGTTCTGGGAAGGTGGCCAGTCGTCTTCGATTCGTGGAGGTATCGATGATGACGAGGCAGTTGCTCCGTCTCTATAGTCAGAAGGCCCAGACATATTAATGGCGGGGGCCGTGTTGTGGCCGGCGGTACCAGCGTTGTCGAGGCCGACATTATTGTCGGTGATATTGTTGTTGACGTCGACGATACAGACGTTCATGTTTTCTGCAGTTTAATCAACCATGACAGTCGGGTGTGATTTAGCTTTGGTCTCGAGTAAACAGAAGACGGGGAAGCAAGTTTCCCACAGACGATACCCCTGATCGTACCTGACCAGAATGGATCGTCACAGCTAGCTCGAGCAGAAGTTGAGAGTGAAGTAGGGGGGATACCTGCAAGACACTCCGATGTCAAAATGAGTTTAGGAATGAGCAAACAAGTATGAGAGTTTAGAAAGTGTTGAATACCTGATCCTCTCGAAAGAGAGGGTATTTATAGCCCCCAGCGATGGGGCAAGGTCTCTTTATTGGACTGATCAAGTAGGCCCAACATAGAGACTGTCAGGTTCTACATGAGTTGTGGGGACCCGCACGTGGCCCCCTACCTTGATGACGTCCTCCGCAAGGTCAGGAGGATATGGATGCGATCTTTCCGGGACCACGAAGGCTCCGTAATATCCGGAGACGTTGGTAGTCATCCCTACGGAGAAGGTTCTTGAGAGGAGAGCCTGCTTGTCGTGGGTGATCCCCGTCAGATGCGAGCTCGGTAGGGGACCAGTCTTAGCCGACGAGCTAGTTCAGGTGTTCTCGCTGCCAGCATGGTCGGGGCGTGAGTGTCCTCAGTCTATTCGGGCGTTGTCTCCGCGTGGTGAGGATGTCTCCTCGCGAGAAAAGGTAGGTAGTTTCCCACCTTACTCGAGGGTAGTATCGATCCCTGGTGCACGCTGGCACACTTGGATTGGGCCTTGCTGAGAATTGGGCCAAGGGCAGGCCCAGTCCATAACAGTTATAATCTAAAATCCAAATGTTTAATTCAATTATAAATTTTTAATTTTTTAATTTTTTTAATTTTAATTTTACTTTTAATTTGAAAAAAAAAATTCAAAATATTTTTTTTAAAAATTTTCAGAAAAAATAAATTAAAGCTTGAAAAGATAAAAATCTTATGACAAAATTTTTTCAGGGAAAAAAACTATTTTTTTTTAATTTTAGGAAAAAAAAATATTTTCTAACAATTTTTTCTTTAGAAAATTATTATTTTTTTAAAATTTCAGAAAAATAATTTTTTTGAAATTGAATTTAAAAAAAAAGTTATATAATCATAATTAAATTTATAAGTAATTTTGATTAAAATATAGTTATGATTATAAATTCAAATTATTTAAATGATTTGAAAATATTATGGTTTGGTTTACAAAAATAACCAACCAACACTCCTAATTTTTTCAGTCAAATTCAATTAGCTCAACCAACAAATCTAGTTTTTCGAATTTGGTCATTCCAGTGTAGTCAAAAACAAAATCTTAGATGGGCAGATGCAAGAGACACGATACGTTGTCTAGTATCAATATAATCTTCATAACCAAAATATGAAAATTTATCGTCTCTTCGTGCTCCGTCTCTATAGTCAGAAGGTCCGAGCATATTAATACCGGGAGCTGTGTTGTGGTCGGCGGTACCGGCGTTGTCGAGGCCGGCATTGTTGTCGGCGATGTTGTTGTTGACGTCGATGATACGGACGTTCATGTTTTCTGAAGTCTGGTCAGTCATGACAGTCGGGGATTGTTTAGTTTTGGTCTCAAGTAAATAAAAGACGGGGAAGCAAGATTCCCATAGACGGCGCCACTGATCTTACCGAATCAGAGATGGACCGTCACAGCTAGCTCGAGCAGAAGTTGAATGAGATTGGGGGTATTTGTAAGACACTCTGATGACAAAGTAAGTTGCGGAATGAGCAAGCAAGTATGAGTTTAGAGAAAGATGATGAATTGAATACCTGACCCTCTTAGGAGAGAGGATATTTATAGCTCTCAACGCTGGGCCAAGGTTCCCACTATTGGGCCACGTTGAGGCCCAATAACAGAAACTGTCAGGGCTTACGTGTGTATGGAGTCCAACAAGTGAATTTTCCCTGATCAACTGCTCCGCGAGAACAGGGTTGGACCCGTGATTTCCGGAGGACAGTTTAAGATGGCTGTCGTGGGATCGTGGGTCACGTCCTCCAACGGTCGGGTGGGGTGTTGCCCAACGGTCCATAACTTGGGCTGTTTTTTGGCTTCCTGTTCGAAGAACAAGTGTAGGTCAAATCCAGATCAGTATATATGTTCAAATAAGTGAAATTGCATTAATTTAAATTAATTTTTAATATAAAACTTTGTAAATAACCATAAACAAAAAGGTAACTGTAATAATTGATTGTTCTAAATTTAAGTTGATTAATAATAAATAATGGTAAAGAAGTTAAATCAATAGTGAGAGTTATGTAAGTAACTTTTGTGGATAGATTTACAAGAAAGGATATTTTTAATCATGTAATTCTTGCACCACTTTAGGCTCTCTTAGACATCAATTTCATATTAAAGAAAAAAATTTATCAACACGCTATGAAGGGGTAAAATGAATTGTGTAAATACTTTCATGTTAGAGTTGGTTGAATAATAACACAATTTTATATAAAAAAAATCTTCAAAATTAAATTGAGTCAAATTTAAAAACAAAAATTTTATTTAAAAACTCTCTAACAAACCAACCTCAATTTTAAGGATTTAGAATCATTCTTGACCAAAGTGAAACCAATAGTAGGTGAGATGCAAGTAATGTCTAGGATTTAAAAAATAGTAAGCATAGAGCATGCTTTAGGTGTTGGAAAGTAAACATCAATAAGAAGAAGTAAGATTATAAAGTATTGTCCGAGATAATCATTAATAGAATGAATAATAGATTCACATTTCCTAGTATTCTGTACACATACAACATGACAGATCAATCATGAATGGTCCTATATAACAACCATCCAACAACCGTTAAACCAAATCAAATGTTTAGTTGTCAACACTTGGCCCTAGTTTAGATAATTATTAAATAACAATCAAATTGTGTAGCGGTTGCTATTTTTCTATATATCTTGATCAATTATCTTTAAACATGGCCAACTAATCTCTTCAATATTCAAGCCCAAAAAACATCGTTTTCCACAAGAGATGATGAACGAAAGAACACTAATTCCAACGTTTGTTTTCTGGGCTTTCCTTACAATAATCACACCAACACTTATTCTCTTGTCAGAGAATTCAAAAGCAGACCTTCATTTAAATGGTAAAACAATTTTTTTTTCAGGCTTTGTAATTTTCTTGTTTAGGTAGATTCTCAGTTAAGTTATTTCTATGTAGCACCGACACCTGAGAGAAAAAAAATGTGTCAGTGTCTATATTCATGTCTGAAATCACAGTTATGATTATGTTAAATTTATTATTTGTTCAAATTATTAATAGGATCGTGTTTTTGGTGTCTGTGTTTCATTAAAATATTCTTTGTTAAACTTTGCAGGAAATATGACAGAGACAATAAAGGTGAGAAGAATGAACGGACACACACATAATAACGTCATAATAACACCACCGCGGCCGCCACCACCAGACAAGTTGGTGGTTGAAGAGGAGGAACTTGCCCCAGCACCAGCTGCATCACATCATAATCATAGTGCTCTTATAAGGAGCAGTGGCAATATCACTGATGATGATGCTCCCAAAGTACAAGTACTTGGTTTTGGTGGAACAAACAAGTCTAAAATCAAATTGTAATTCAATTATTCGATTATTCAATTATCTGATTACAAGTTACAAGTTACAGAAAATGATTTGTCTGTATGTAATGTTACTTTTTTGTTGCCATCACCCAAGATAAGTCTGTTGGTGGAGTTGTGCACCAGGTTGGGCAAAGGAGGGTAGAAAATAGCCAACAAAGGAGTTGGTGGATACATAGGTATAGGGTGGGAATGGTTTCAGTGTAGTCATGACTGGGTAACTTAGTTTGCATTTTGAGTTAAATGAATTATCAATAGGAGTGTGCATGGATCAAAAATTGAATTATATAAATGGTTTGGTTTGGATCTTAAAACTATTTCTATAAAACTAATTCGATTTTTTGAAACTGGTTTACATGTTGATCAGTTCGGTTTTAAATCGATTTTATATAATAAAAAACAGTTTTTAAAAAAATCAGTATTAAAACAGTTTTAAATCGGTTTTTTTCAAAACCAATTTTTTATTTACTTTAAAAATCAGTTTTATAAAAAAACCAAATTTAAAATCAGTTTTATAAAAGAAAACCATTTTAAAATCAATTTTATAAAAAAAATCAGTTTTAAATAAAAAATATGACAATTAAATTCAAAAAACATAATTTTTTTAAAAATGAATCTCATTAAGATATCGTGTTAAGCTTAAATAACAAAAGAAAATGTATTAACTTTGCTACAATTAACAAAAGAAAGGTATTAACCTTGCTACAATTAAAATTTTTGAAAACACTAAATATGACATCATGTTAACAAAGTGAACAAACATCAATGTATCAAGTGCATAAGAGGAAATGCATAATTATGTATCAATATGTGATAAATGGTCATTTGTAAAAGCTTAAGCAAATACACAATATATGTAAACTTCCACTATTAAACTTGAAAATTAAAATTATAACTCACATACAAAACCAGCATAAGCAACAATGATGCATGTTATACCACTTCAATTATCACAAATAGAGAAATCCTCATTCCAATTCAGTGTCCTTGAAGGTAGAAACTTACTCACAAAATCAAGTAAAATCTCTTGGTCTTCAACGGGTTCACAATTTTCTTTCGACATACAAAATTAATCAGATTTTGCAATAAGCTTAATGCTGCATAGAATGGAATGAAATTACAAAAATGTCAGCATATAAAATAGGTGTTTTTATAACAAGCAGAAGCACATTTACTTCCTCATTTTGTTTACAAGAATACTTTCTTTTGGCATCAAAATAATGATCAATAAAAATAATCACAATTCTTCTTTATATAAGGAATGAACCTGACATAGGTAGCAGAAGATCCCATAAAACATTCAAACAATGACTAAGCAAAACACCCACAAGACAATATCTATGAAGCTATGATCATAAATTAACACATAGTAATAATGATACTTAGAAATATTCTGGTAATTTTACACATCACATGTAAATGAGACAACTACCAAACTAAAATATTTCAGAACTTAGAGTTGATAATTGCAAGGATTACACAGAAACTGTTAATTGATTCAAACATTGCAGCAGAATGTAGAATTCAACAAAGGATATAGAAAACAAAATTGAGAATAGTAGAGTAAATAATAAGATAGTGACTCTTAACTATGTCAAAACTGACAACTAACAACTAAACTAGCAAATAAATGAAGAATAACAAGATCATGCATTAACATATAGGCCTAAATTGAGTCTAAAAAATGAATGATGTTCCTTCTAACACATTATATTTAGAGCAGTTCATAATATGAAGACTTCACCAATCATAACTAATAAAATCATGACATAATACCACTATCTATATTCTTTGGTACAATTCGTTCAAACTAAAATCTTCAAATTCTCAAGTGCAGAAATCAGAAAATCACACAACAACATAAACGCACAAGTGCAGAAAATGCATATATAAAAAATTGAGTAGAATATGAAGAAACAAACTTTAGAATTCTTTACCGTTAAGTCCTCTTCGAGTGCAACAGAGGTTGAAGAAGTTGAACAACTAGAACCATCTTCCGTATAAAGTAATTCTATAAAACATACAAATACATTTCATTATACCTCAAGTATAATAAATAATAATACATTAGCGAATATACTTAGTTATCATACCTTACCCAAATCTCTCAAAAATATCAAAATCTTCATTTGTAATCAATGATGAAGATTTTCCTTTGAGCCAATCTTGGGTGCATATTAGTGCTTCGAGAGTTGTCAGTGTTAATGAGCTGCGATATAGATCAAGCACCCTTTCTCCTATGCTAAATGCAGATTTAGGCGTCACTGTGTTTATTGGTATAGCAAGCACGTCTCTTGCAATATTTGCAAGGATGGGATAACGACCAAAATTTACTTTCCACCACTCGAGAATATTTATCTCCATGTTATGCTCTAACTTCTCTCTAAGATAAGTGGTTAACTCATTATCTGCATTGTTATACCCTTCTGAAAGATAAAACTCAGCAGTTTCGTATGGATGCCTAACATTACCAAAAACTTGCAGCTCGCGTGGATTACTTTGAGAAGACATAAACCAAGCACAATATTCCTCATAAATATATTTCAAGCAAGACTCTAAGGTTTCTTTCAAGGCATCAACATCAACCTTATTATAATATTGTCGTACCATCTAACCAACTAATCTAACCTTGCCTCTAGGGTCAAAAACTAGAGCAATCAACAACATCATGTTAAGATTCTCATGAGATCCCCAATACTTATCATATTTCTTTTTCATCTTTTGAGTTGCTGAACGTAGATATTCATCTTCAGACGCACACATATCCACAATGCTCTTTCCAATACCCAAGACCTCAAACATATAAATATTGCTTGTCAAATAAGAAGAACCTGGTATATGTACAGTGGCAACATAAAACAACTTCAAGAATGAAATGATTAAGTTGATATGCTTCCATTGGAACACCTTTTCCCTTTTTTGTTAACTCAATCACATACCTAGCACAACATAAAATGTTCAACATCAATTCAACTTTATATAAGTTCTTTCTTAAAACAAACTCACATTTTCAAAGGAATTATCTCTGATGGATGCCATATATTCTTTTCTAATTTCCACAGACAAGACGTTTTCATGTCAATTGATGGATATGGATGCATCAAGGCTATGGTATGACATGCATAATGACCGTGCACACATAACCACTTACTCACGGCCACATACAACACTTGAGATTATACAAGAGCCTTATGGACTTTATACCATCCTTTTCCTGTCAATTAAGATCCAGTACACAAGAGTTGCATTATACCTTAACTTTTTCTAACTAATTTAGCAGAGTATTACACTAAATAGTTAGGCACGGTACATAAATTTTCATTAAGTCAAATAGTTCAGTCCTTTGAAGTTTCTTACTAAATGCTTGGAGAGGAAAGTATACATGGTTGACATATTGTCTTCAATAACCCTTTTATAACTTATGACAATGTAATTAGCTGTTGTAGCTATTACTTGTTACACTAAGATAGCATAATTTCAAAATAGTCACGACAATAACAATAAAGTCTTACTGTGTTAGTTTCTGTTAATATATAAAGTTTTTATGACCTTTATAATTATCATAATAGAATAACTAACTAGTTGTATATGATTGAAAAATTAATTCACATACCTTTTATTTTGAAAACCTAATTCTTCAAAGGTTCTTTCATATTTTAATGCGGATACTAACATCAAGTAAGTTGAATTCCAACGAGTCTCAACATCTAGAGAAACTAAACCTTTATAGTCCATGCTCTCCTCATCAATACATGCCTTGAATTTAGCGAGCCTCACGAGAGAAGATCTAGCATACCAAAAAACATGGTGAACTCTATAAACAAAATCATCAATGTCTTTCAAACCTTATTTCACAATTAAATTCAATATGTGTGCGCAGTTCCTCATATGAAAATGGTTTCCGCTCATAACTAAACTATTCTTAGACAAAAGCCTTCTCTTGAGACGTCCAACCCTAACATCATTAGATGAAGCATTATCAACCGTCAAACTAAGCATGCAGTTTAAACCTCAACTGTTCAAACACATCTCCATTGTTTCACAAATAGCATCCCCCTGTATGACTTGTGACTTGACAAAAAGTTAAGATCTTCTTCTGTAAGTTCTAATTATTGTCAATGAAATGGACTATCACACACATATAGTTCAACTTTTGATAAGAAGTCCACATATCATAGGTGAGACAAACTCTTCGACAATTTAGAGAGAGAAAGTTTTTCAAAATCATTCTTTATGTGTCTCATAGTTTCAAGACATCACGTGTCAATGTTGTGCGCGAACAAATCTGAAATCTTGGTGAAGCGAGACTCATAAATTCATGAAAAGACTCAAGTTAGACCTTCCAAAAAGGAATCTCCATGTTAATGAACATCTTAACCATTGCTCTTCGAATAGCTTCTTGGTCAAACTTGACAATTAAAAGAGATCCAACATGTTCTTCAACACTTGTCATAGAAGATGATGTCCTTTGTCTCTTGTAAACAAGGTATCTCGATAAAAGAGCATGCATAAAACTAGTTCCATTATTATACTTAATTTTTGTGTCACAGTACTTGCAAGAAGCTTTGTGTTCTTCTTCTGACGATATAATGAAATGATTCCAAGCCCCTGAATGATTCTTTCGCTTCTTATTGTGAGGAGATGGTATTTCATTAGAGACGATAGGTAGAGGAGTTGAAATCGTATTCTCGGATGTTGCATACGTTGGCAAGTAACTAACATTAGTCATCTTTATTCTGTTGAATATAGGACAACAAATTAGAGAAGTGTCTAAAACTACAATTTATATTATATTTTTATAGGAAAACAAATTATAGAAATTTCAAGTTATTTGACCTAATTAATTAGCCTTGTAAGTAACTACTTTGTCTCATATTTAGAATTAATTACAGATAACATGGCTCTGATACCATAAATGATGTATACAAACAGTATATAGGTAAGCTAATCTCCATGTGAGCTAAACCTATTCGTGCAAGTAGCATATAGAATTCATCTAATTAACTCTAACTACTTCATTCAAAATAGTTGCAAGGCTAACTAACTCAACTATAAGCATAAGTTAAAGTTAAATCTTCTAGGTGGTTTTATTGTCGTGTAATAGATTCATTGAACACACATTTTTGAAATCAACATAACTCTAATAGCGCACTCTCATTCTAGAATAAAGTTTGACACAAACTAATAAGAACCTACTTAAAACCTTCTATAAATAGAACCCATGATAAAAAAAATTAAATCTTTAAAACTAGGTAAAATTACAAAGAGCTCTACTAGTGACAAGAAAAAAAAAGACATTGTTCATCATGATTATACATTAATTAAACAATATAGAGAGATTCGAGAGATTCAACTTCACCTATAATCAATTTTTATCAATTACACTAGTGACAAGCAGAACACTATCACAAAATAAACATTGAAATACATCAGTTGTTGAAATAAAACTTCATAATTGATACATTATATAGCCTAAAGTTTTAGAAAACAGTATGTTCATATACCATCATCTCTTGGGCATACAAATGCTATAAGAATGTTTTTTTTTTGCCACATATCACAAACTTCCATGCAGAAATTTGCAAAAAGTGTCGTGTTTCCTTTTACAAAAGCAAATTTCTAGTTCCAGATGCATAGCCTAGGATGCATCAATTATTTTTTCTCTCGTTAAAAGGTCTAGTTTAGGTTAAACTTTGGCAACACTTAATAACTTTAGTTTCATATGATTAAACACTAGAACATTCAGGAACAAGATAAACTCTAAGTAAAAGTTGATAACCAGATCTGGAACAATATAAGTTGTAAATAATACAAGAGCTGGAAAAAAAGATTAAAACTACATAAATTCCCTTCACGGATGCAACATTCAAAGCACTTACAAATGATAGTGAATATTAGAATATCAATAAATGACCAACAACTTAGTGGAAACACAAAATAACACAGATCTACCTGAATATCAATGGAAGTGAAAATGTTGGTAGAGCTTTCTCTTGAATCTGAAATTTCATCGATTTTACGATTAATTAGATAAGCCCGTAATTTAAAAAATTTCTAATTTGTGTAAACTAAAAGTTCTAAGTAGAATTTCACCTGATTGTGAGAAGTAAGCTAATGGATGTTGAAGGACGAATTCGTTGAATTTTTTTTTTTGAAGATTAGAAGAACATTTGGATTTTTGAAGACCATGGAGACATTTTTGAAGAACGATTCGTTGGAAATTTTTTGTAGATTCGAAGAAGATTGAGATTTTTGAAGAATTAGGGTTTATGAGATTTTTGAAGAATTAGGGTTTATGAGATTTTTGCGTATGTTTTCTGAAATTTGGGAGTATAGTATAATGGTGACCCATAATTGATCCGGTTTAAGGCAATGAGTATCGTTTTTTTTTTCTTAATTTGTAAAATAGACCACCAGTTTATAAACATAACTTTGGGTTGGACTTTTAAATTTAGACTTATTTGGATAGTAATTTGGTTAATGGTTACCAGTTATTTTGCACACCCCTAATTATCAATGTATACTTAATTAGTGTGAGAGAAATTTTTTTAACCAAAGTTACCAAAGTTATCTTAAATGAAAGTCACTGAAACCTTCTTCGATATAGGGTATGCCTTCAGCTCAATCTTACGTCGAGTTTGGACTTTGATGGGATTTTGCTGGCTCAATGATTGACAGGATCTCCGTCGTTCCCAAATTCTATAAGAAAATATTTGTGGAGACAAGACATGGAGAAAGGGTTGTACAGAACGGAAACTTTACTCCTAAAAATATAAGCAATAAGGTGTTGTTATTTTAAATTTATTTAAAATTTAATTTATTTTTAACTAAAATTATGAGGGGGTGGTTATAATAGATTAGTCTAAAACTTGTGCGTTCGGACGGGTTAAAATTATTTTATACGATACATTTGTATTCAAGGGTACATTGAAAGCTATATTTATATTTTTTTTATCTGCATCTAATTGGTTGTGTCTCATGCCATTTCATAATGTATTGCAATCACATTTTAAACATTAGAGACAAGTGCAAATAAATGATATCGTAACACCTATTAAATAACAGTAAATTATTTTGTAAATGATTGTAAATGATTGAACAATTGAAATAAGTGTACTAAGATATGATATTTACATCTAATGAATCAAAATATTAACACATCTAAAAAAGAAAATATGTCTTTGAAACATGTTGCTTTATATTTCAATATTTGATATCTTCATGAGTAAGTTTGGAAGAAAACACACAAGGAATGGGCCGTAGAAATAATAGCAATTTTATGAGATTATACAACATTTTGACTCTACGAAAACGCCTAACTTTTTAAAGGTAAAAAACCGTCCTGATAGAGTACAATTGGCAACGAATTTTACATTTTGTTACAGTAGGATATATATTTTTTACAAATATAAAGCAACGTTTGGACACTGTTCTTTTAAATAACAAAGAGAACGGTTTTCTATTGCAACAATTAAACGTCGTTCTCATATAATTTACTGAGTTAGTATAATACACATGTTTCATTCGAAAGGTATAATCTCTCTAAGGTGAGAGAGTGGGTTACTGAGTTGATTTGAAGAACTCGGTAACTCAACGAAGAAATGTTTAACTCTAGAACATTGTTTCTGCAGCTCAAGTGAAACTATGGTGGCCCATAGAAAGAAGGAATGTTGTTGCCGGTGAAAGGGTAGGAAAGTTTTGTTATAGTGCCACAGTTGTAGGTGTTGTTGTTTTATGTTTTATGGAATGGACATAACCTTCATCTGGAAAAGTAATTATTAACATTAACAATACTTGTAGTTTAATTTGAACTAACTAATTTTTTTGTTTTTATTTTTTATTATTGAAATATTATTATGAGGAGAACTATGATTTGAGTCAATGTCATTTACCAGCTGCTAATTTCAGTGTTTTTTTTTTCTGAATAATACTTGCAATGGTTTCTATTGTGATTATTTCTCTCAAGCCTTGGAAGTTTGGACTGACTGGTATAATGAATTTGCAGCCCATATTTAGTACCTTGTTAATTCTTATGTTTCTCAAGGAAATGATAAAAATCATTGTTTGTATTCCTTCTTTAACTTTGCAGGTTAAGAGCTTTGGAGGTCCGACCGGTTCCTCATAGACCTGCTGAGAATTTGGCATTTTCAATTGCAGAGTTTATGTTGAAAATATTAAATTTGACTTGGGTCTAAATTTATTAATTAATTTTTGGACTTAGTTATTTTGGGCTTAAGTAGTTTTCTAGAGAATTATTGTAATATTTGGAATCTCTAGATATTTCTTATAATTGTAATAATTTCTAGAATAGTTTTTAGATCTCTAGAGTTGAGAACTCTCTAGAATTAGTGTGTCTAGAGTTCTTAAAGTACTATAAATAGAGATGTAATCTCACACATTTGTATCAAGCAAAAATACAAAGTTCTTCTCCTCCATAAAGAATTATCCTACTTATCAAATTTATATTCAAACCTTCAATATTTCCACACACTTCTCCTTAACATAAAAGGTCTTATTTCCAACAAAGTGGTATCAGAGCTTCAAGATCCACAAAATGGCGAATGGTGGTTTCCCTTTCCAAATGTCGATGCTCACAAAGAACAACTATGATAATTGGAGTATCAAGATGAAGGCGCTACTAGGAGCTCAAGATGTGTGGGATATTATTGAGAAAGGCTTCAAGGATCAAGATGAATCCTCGCTAAGTCAAGGTGTAAGAGAGACATTGAAGGAGTCAAAAAAAAGAGACAAGAAAGCTCTCTTTCTCATTTATCAATTGGTGGATGAAGATACGTTTGAGAAGATATCCAACGCAACAACGGCCAAAGAAGCATGGGACAAGCTTCAAACTTGCAATAAAGGAGTTGAGCAGGTAAAAAAGATTCGTCTTCAAACTCTTAGAGGTGACTTTGAACGTTTATTTATGGAGGAGTCCGAGTCAATTTCAGATTATTTTTCTCGGGTATTGGCTGTAATCAATCAACTTAAGAGAAATGGTGAAGATGTTGATGATGTGAAAGTCATGGAGAAAATACTTCGCACTTTAAATCCAAGTTTTGACTTCATTGTTACCAACATTGAAGAAAATAAGGATCTAAAGACCATGACTATTGAGCAACTCATGGATTCCTTACAAGCATATGAAGAAAAACAAAAGAGAAAAATTAAACAAAAGGAGGCTATGGAGCAATTACTACAACTCAATATAAAGGAAACAAACTATACAAATTACAAGAGCCAAAGAGGACGAGGTCGTGGCCAATATCGTGGACGTGGACGAGGACATGGAGGAGAAGGAAGAGGTGGTTGCAATAACTACTCCAACAACTTCAACAATGGAGAAATAAGTTGGAATCTACAAGCAACAAGAGGTCGTGAAAGAGGAACCTCATGGTCGAGGAGTAATAAATCACAAGTCAAATGTTTCAACTGCAACAAGATTGGTCATTACGCAACCGAGTGTAGATTCTCGAAGAAGGTGGAAGAGAAAGCTAATTTTGTAGAAGAAAAAGGTGGAGAAGAAGAAACTTTGCTACTCGCTTGTCAAAACGAAGTTGAAGAGAAAAGAAATAAGTGATACTTGGACACTGGCGCAAGCAGCCACATGTGTGGCGATCGAAGCATGTTCGTAGAGATCAATGAAGCCACAACTGGTGATGTATCATTTGGAGATGACTCAAAGATACCGGTCAAAGGCAAAGGTAAAATTCTCATACACTTGAAGAATGG